GAGAGAGAGAGAGAGAGAGAGAGAGAGAGAGAGAGAGAGAGAGAGCAGTACAACCGAAGCAATGTCAAATCGTATGCATAGCATATCACACCTCCACGCTACCAGCACTTAAAAGCAGCTGCCTCCTCATCACCACCTGCAGGCCACCCCAACGCCTCGAGAGATAAAACCAACGCAAACACTTACGTCCCGCTCCGTTTGTTTCAACAGCGCCACTTCCATCGGAGGTGCGGCGGCCCACTTGAGGTCCTCCTCCTCTACCCCGCGGCCTCCACCCCCCCCAGCGGTGGCGGCGGGGGCGACAGGCTCCTTAGTCGCCTTCGATGGCGGCGAATCGCGTGCCGCTTCAGACTCCTCTTTGCTCTTGTCCTCATCGGACGAGCGAGGTCTGAGGGCGGCCGGAAAGGCATCGTCTGGTCCGCATCGCACTACCTGTGTGCGTTTGTGTGCGCATGGTTTGTTGTTGGCATCGACCGCGTAAACCGAGCGACCAGTGAATGACAAGACGCCAGTCCCAGTGCGGCTGAAAACAGAAAGCGCTTCGTGTGTGTGCATGATTGTCGTGTGTTGTACGGCGATAGGGCGGCGGCGGCGGCAACAACGGTAGATACCAGCTTCGAACAAGAGGTTGTGAGCAGCGGCGGCAACGGCAACACACACCTGACGACAACATAAAAATGCGGGTACCGGTCCGTTCGGTTTGTGTAACGCAGCGGCATAGGGGACCAGAGAGGCAAAGACCCCCTATCTCAATGCGGCCCCTCTGTTTTCCTAGTTGGATTCGACGGTACTGTACTGCTGTAGAGGTGCAAGGGTCTCCCACGACGGCAAAAAACAACAACGTTCGAGGTAAAGTACCTGTTACATACAAGTATTATCTTCTCCCCCTTTTCCACGTACAAGCTCTCGATCGAGGAACTAAAGCCTTCTTGTTTTATGTACGACGATTCCTAAAACACCGCTAGAAGTATATGTTGCATATTTGTTTTCTCCCCTTGTCCACGTGCAAGCTCTCCATCGAGGTACAGAAGCCTTCTTGTTCTATGTACGGAGATTCCTCCAGGCTACCCCATACAACGCAGGACTCTGAGGACCGCTCCCTCAAGGACGGCAGTAACAGCCAAGAGAACACACGTCCGCTTTCCCTGCAAATTAACCCTTGGGTTTTGACTGTAGGCACGGGGAAAATAGAGAAAAACACAGGGCTTTTTTCTCCGGCCAAGTCCTTACGTTGGCTGCAAGCCTCTCTTCGCGCGGAACAAACCTCGCCGCAGAGACTTCAACAAATCCCTCCCATGAAGGTACGTACTATTTTATCTCGAATGGTTAGTCTTGTCTGCGATTCAGTAAGTCTATCTGTGATTAAAATGTTCATATGATTACTTTCGTAAGGCTCGTCGGTCTTTGCTTGCCTGCGCGAAAGGCAGAGGAGACCTCTCCTCCATCACGAACTGCACCCGGGTGTTGAAGATGTGCATGACGAGAAGGAGCCCTTTGTTCACCAGGAAGGCGTTGAGGAGCTTAGACGTCGCCAGGCAGATCTTCACTCGGAACTTGTGCGTGAGAACCTGTGCGGTGCGTTCGCGTTTTGGGGGGGGGGGACATGATTTTGAGGCTGTCGTCGCCGTTGTATGTGATACCTCGGATAGCGGTCGTTGGTGTCGTCGGCATTGTTGCTGGCGTTGGTAGTGTCGTTGTGGTCGATACATGATTGTGCGTCGTTGCTGGCGTCGGCTCTGTTGTTGTTACCCAAGCTCTAAACTTTTCGATTACTCGTCTTACAGGTACATGTACTGCTGCTGTTGTTTTCAGTTGTCATTGAGTCTTGCGTGCTCCCCCGCACGTCCGGATTCGACCGATACACACACACAATTCTGTTGCTGCTGTTTCTGTCTTTGATCCCAAGGATAGTTTAGCCTCCCCCATGCTGGATGCGTGGAGTGAGGATTGCTTACGAAAACCTCACAGGTTGAGTGATGTAGGAGATTGCCGGACACATAGACGTGTTGAGTGATTATAGCTGTATACTGAAACCCCACGGAAAGGGGAGGTTTGAGATTGCCAGACACATAGACGGGTTGCGTGGGGATAGCTGCTGGAACCCCACGGGTTGAGTGATGTTGGAGTGCCGGACACATAGACGCGTTGAATGAGGATAGACACATATTGAACCTCACAGGTTGTTTGTATTGGAGATTGCGAGACACCTA